GCGCACGCGCGAGGGAGATGAAGCAACAAACAGAAGAACCGTCTAAGCTCGATGCAATATTCTGTTCTCGAAGACGCGTTCCTGCTTTTTCAACGATTAGAAAACAGTCGCCGCGTCAGCACGGAGCGAAGGGTCTCGCGCGTCAAGGAAGAAACGCGGCGCGCGCAAAAAAAAAAATGTTAGACACCCCAGGCACGCTCGCGAATTGATATTCGCGAATTCGCATTATTTATTAAATCTGACCGCGCGCGCGCGCGTCCGCGCTGCGGCCGCGCGAGCTCTGATTTTGCATTAAATTTATATGGTTCAGGGAGCAAATCTGGCGATCCGCGTTTCGAAGGGCGAAATTACACGGAATACACGGCGCGCGGTAGCTCGCTGCACGGGCGTTCAGTTTCGGATTATCGACTATTCCTGAGTGCATCGATAGAATCCATTGTTGGCTGCCGTACTCCAAGTGGAAGCGACATTCGCGCACGGAGACGGTAGCGGAAGACTTTGGCGATGAACGGATGGACATTCGGAATCGTGCACGAGCTTAGACTAACCTCCCCTCCGCCTCGCGCCCCCGCCCGCCTCTCTTGCCGAAATGACCCCCTCTCTCTCTCTCTCTCTCTCTCTCTCTCTCTCGAGTGAGGTTCGACGTGGCTTTCGGGGACGAGATATCGCATTATTCCCGACTGAATGGGGTAAATCAGGGTCTCGTAGAGTTCCAACGTGGAATCGGCGGTTCTCTCTCGGATCGCTGATGTCGAGAGGATGAGGGTTAGCTGGCGGCAGCGGCTGCCTTGGGAATTCAATTATACCTACGGAACAATGGCACCCGCGCCGGTAATGAAGGGTCCGTCGGCGGGAGAGGTCATCAGATTACGTGGTATTTACAATATATAAGCCGGATGGTTGTGCGCGGCCGGGAAGTGAGTAGAAGGGAGGGCTCCTCCTCGGCGGCATTTCTTTCTCACCGCCACCTGACTCGCGTCTTCTCCAACTCCACCCCCTTGTGCTTCTCTTTCTTTTCCTCCTCCTCTTCCTCCTCCTCTTCCTCCTCCTCCCGTGAGACGCGCCGTGTCGAGAGTTAATTCTCAAGACGGAGGTGGATTATCGTCGAATTTTCAGATAACCGAAACGAGAAAGGGGTGGTTTACGCCCTCGGAGAAAGACTCTCTCTCTCTCTCTCTCTCTCTCTCTCTCCGGTGTAATCTGATGTGTTTCTCCAGATTGCGAGGAGAGATCTCCTCGTTAAGAGGCGGAAAGTCCCGAGGCCACGCCGCGAGTGGATGCGCCTCGCCGGAGAATCGTCGCCGAATTTTCGGGCGGAAGCGAGTCGTCGGCACGGGGTCGTTAGACGAGCGGAAGAAGCTCACGGGGCGAGCCAAGTCGTCATCGCCGCGCTGAGAGCGGCTTTTCCATCCCCCCCCTTCGCCCCCTCCCTTCCCTTCGCTGTTCCTCCGTATGTAATTTTTCTCGAAGCCGCTTTCTAAAGCGATAAACGAGGGCGTAACAACGACTCACCCCCGACTGAATTTACATCGATAACGCGCGGCGTTACGACGCGCACTCGGCCGAGTGCCGCAAATTGGATGAAACGGTAGCCGCGCGAACACGCTACTCGTCGGCGGCGACGTTTACGCGATAACTCTTGACACTGACGTTGCTTTACGGCGGACATCGGTGACGAACGGTTCGGACTCGAGCGCGCGCGAGAAGGAGGGCGAACATTGCGGACGGGGAAATATTTAGTCCTCTTTGGCCTCGGCCGGAGAACGAGGCTCGTAATTACGTTAAAGGGGCGCGACGGCCGAAGGGGTTGCGGGGGAGGCTCAGAGCGAGAGGTCGCTCCACCTCCCTCCCTCTCTCGCGTTGAGGCCCGGGGATGGATTCCGTCAATAACCTCTTTAAAACGGCCTAAATTCATTATTTGCCCTCTGTTCGGCTACGAGCCGGGTGTGTCGCCTTTCTACGTTTCCTGCCGAACCCTCGTAACGGGAAGTCGCGATCGCTATTCCCCGACGACGAGGGGAACCTCGAAAGCGCGTTCGGCGGTCAAAGACGCGCGCTATCGATCAGTCCGCGCTCGTCGTCGCCGCCCGATTCGCGCGGACACTCATGGAGTCATTCGGCAAGTTGTTTCCGCGGTGTGTCTTCGCCTTCGGGTCCTCCCGGCAGGAAGTTTAAGGACATCGTCCTGCGTTGGTCGCTATGGTGGACACTCCTCGCCAGTGGGTTTAACCTTACGTCTAAAATTACGGCTAAACGGAGACCCGAGTAGAAAAATTGATAGGGCTCTGGTAAGAGCCTGATTATTTTTCTTTAACATTAATTATGACAGTCTTATGAGGAAATATCTTTATTATTACTTGAGTAAAAATATTCCTTCTTTTCATTGCAAGAAATTTACACTGTAATTTCTTTATTTCTTTATAACCTTGTTATAAGTATACAATAAGAATTTTTTGTTTTAAAAATATAACATACTTTATACAATGAAATATAGCATTCTTTGCACATAAAAATCCTGCTACTGTTTATATTAAAGTTTGCTGCATTTCAAAACGAAGGCGATATTAGAAAAATTCTTGAAAGAGACTAATGAATATGGCAACTGATAAAACTAATAAAATCTGTTTTCAATTGCGGTATAATTAAAAAATCTTTAAAAGAACCAGATAGAGAGCGTAAACTATGACAATTTTATTACATTGCTTCGGATCTTATTAATTTTCTATAACAAAACTTGATTTTGTATCTAAAGCATCCTTAAAAGATCCATCTCGGGGCCTGATGTGATAATAATGAGGCGTCCCTTTTTAGAGTATCCTACCCTAGCAATTTTTTCACTCCCTCTTGTGCTCCTTCTTGTCCGACTTGCTGAATATCGGAGCGAATATCGAGCGACAGTTGCAGTCGAGTCGCGATCTCTCCGACGCCGAACGCGTCGCGTTTCATTCGACTTGTCGCCGCCGACATGGCGACGATCTCTTTATCGTATTTCGTTATTTTGTCGCGCGTCTCTCAACGACTGGAAGCTAATCAGCTCCTTTGTCCGCGCGACGGTCGTCGTGTATACGCCCCGTGCTCTCCCCCTCCCCCCCTCCCTCTTTCTCTTTCTCTCCGCCTCGTCCGACGGCGGGAAAGAAATTTTCCCGCCGTCGCAGGGACGATATTTATGCGTTCCGTGAAATATATGTTTAAAATATTCACGACTTGTTTGGCGGGGTATTACCGCGACAAAAGAATACAGGACGCTGTCGCCGCGACTCTCCTCTTTGTGCGTCGCTGAAGACGGGGGATTGGAATTAACATGGGAGTCCGGGGAGAGTGCATTTCCACTGTGAGGGCGAACAACCGGCGCGGCGTGTCTCGTTAATATGGATTTCACTAACGATCCGGCTAATTTGTACGCTCTTCTTCGTCCGTACCGAAGAGGTGGGGGTAGCCGCGGTGAAATAGCGGAGACGAGACGAAAATGCCGGAAAGGCATTTCGTCGCGAGCGGACAAAGAAGAACGGCGCGGCGCGGGGCGGGATCGGTATATCCGGCCGCGTATCGGCCTGGATCCGCTCATCCGTGGAAAGCCTAATGGCCGACTCAGCATACATTTGCATACGAATGACCGGAAAGGTTCTTAGATATTACGAGCGTGTCCCGCGCGCGGCTCTCTTGACCGGCCAGGTAGGCGAGATAACGTCGGCCGCGTTGAATATGAGAACAATTAGGGGGCGCGAAACAGAGGGGTCGCGCGAGAGAAAACATCTTGACGAGACAGCAGCGCGTGTTCCGCGCGCGCGCCCTCGGGATCGCCCGATTGGCGATCTGACCGACCTCCGTGTATGTACACGCTGCGCATTTGTAATTAAAAAGCCCCGCAGACGGAGAGGGTGAGCGAGAAGCGGCGGCAGGGGGAGGAGAGAGGGAGCGAGCGCGACTGAAAATAAAACGCCCTTACGCTCGTGTAGAAACGATCGTAATCAATGCGGAGCGATTTGAGAAAGAGATCCGTGAAGTTGGTCTCATTCTCTCATAATTACTCGTCCAATTTATCAGTTCGAACTCGAACTGGAGGATAAAGAGAAGTTCGCTCCTAGCGAAGGAATAATCTCCTCGTTCGATTAGTCACGTGTCTCCCTTTAATGCATTGGAAATTATCAATGCAACGTATAATTACAGACTAAGCGTGCAGAATTTAGTTGTTATTATATCACTAATTAGCAATTTATAGATAATTACCAATATAATATGAATATAATGCCGATGTAATTATCGAGATAATTAGCAATTAAGTTCGAAGGTTAAGTTTAAGACTCGTGTGTAACCGCGGAAAGAAACCAAAGTTTTGTTTCCCCGCTGGCGAGTTTTCGAGTTTGCGACATAAATGTTTGATAATTTGGAAATCTATAATTTCTAACGCGTCACAAGGATTGCGGGTCGTGTTCGCGCAAGTCCTCCCGAGATCTGTCGGTTATTTTTAAAAGCGCCCCGGAGAGCGAGTTGACGTCGCGTCGCGATGGAGTTGCCGCGACCGAACGCTGACAGCACGGACAAAGTCAAAACCTGCAATTGCGAGGCTTTGACCGTCGATTAGGCGATCCGTACACGTCTGCATCGAGTCGTTTCCCCTCGTTAAGGAATGTAGGTGGATGAGAGAGCGAAGATGGCGTGCGGATTGTGGAAGCAGTCGCGAGCGTTTTCGCGCTTCGCAGCCGCAGCAGTTCGGAGTTGCCATTCGGAGCACGTAGATTGCTAACCTAACTTGTTTAGCGGTTTTAGCGGTATTTGATTAGTTGAGTGAATTTCCGAACTGTTTCAGACCACCTCCCGCTCACTTGGCCGGGCTGGAAATCGGACGGGGACAAACCTTCGGCGAATTCGATAGATACACGTTGTACACGGTTAGGTATCGGTGACGCGTCTCGCCAAGTAAAATCGATCGCCGCCGCTCGGATTTGACGATATTACGGCGCGGCTCGTATTGTACGTTAGACAATGCGGCGTCGACTCACCTTGCGAGTAGCTCATGTCCTTCTTTCATGTACCTCGATAGTCACTCCTTGTGTCGGAGTCACGGTCGCACGGAGATAAATCGTCACCTGAAATGAGAAACACGAGACCAGTGTTGAGACATTAAGTTGCGCCGACGCGGACGCGTCGTAAAAATAGAATGAAAAGTTCAAATTCGCGAAGAAGATGCTTCTTTTTTTTCTTTTTAATCTCTCTCGCCGCGTGTATAAGGCGCGTCTTTCAATTCGAAGTCCCCGGCCGTAGGAATTTTATTTGCGCTAACAATGTCTCGCGCGTTGAAGAACGAATGTTTTTACACGTGTGAGGATACCACCAGCGCTGGAATTTCCGCTTCCGTCCTTCGCGACGGGTTTTCAAACAAGGGAAATACGCGAACATGCGGTAACACTTAAAATAAATCCGCCATTATCGGGGAGCGTAAGACCGGGATAAACTCGGGCGTTAGCACGTTGATTCGATCGCGTGTAATCATACGTCTGTTCCCAGCCTGCAGTCTGCCGCGGTAAGGAATCCTCGGTATTCGAACTATATTCGAGCGTCTACCACGGTTGACGACGTTGGATCAAAGATAATATTGGTTCGCAGTCAGGGAATGGATCGGGTGTTACATCCGTGTTCGAAGTTCGCTCTTCACGACCGCAGCGATTTCGAGGACGATAGCCGGAACGTGAAATAAAGAGGATATTCGGTGGCGATGGCGGCGGCGGCGGCGGCGGCGGCGGCGAGACGCTGACCCCGCGAGTAAATTAGTTCCGGAAACTATTTCCAAGCCGGTTTAACGTCCGACGTATAACCAGCAATCCCTCGTACGTAAGCTCGGAAACATCCCTCGCCGTCGCGCGCGCGCGCGCGCGCGAGCGCGAGCGCACGCTCACATTCTGCAAACGTCGGTAACTAAGGTAGCCCTTTTTTTCACGGCTAACGAAACAACGTGTAATCTAGGCGAGATATCGATCGTTGCGCGTTGCGCGGCGGTAGCGTTACATATCGGCGCTCGGCTCGGCAGCGGTCGCATCTAATGGGCAAATATTATCTCGAGAAACAAAATCACGCGCCGGTGTTCTTAAGGTCAGGGCGCAGAAAATACAAATGTGCGCGGGACAAGTTTCCAGTTGATGCCGATAATTGAGCGAAAACCGGAGGAAAATTCGGCGACGAGAGACACGACGGCCGGAAACAATCGACCGATCGGAGGAGCGCACACTAGGAGAAATGTATTGTTGCGTGAACCAAAATTTGGTTGTAACAACAAAATAATTTGGTTAAAATATGCCCAATAAAACTGTTTAGTTCCTGCAAACAAATATCTTGTTTGATTACGGTTTGTTCGTATAACGCAATACTTTTGTTATAGCAACCAAAAAGCTTTAACTATATGAATTTTGTTAAAAATATTACAATTTTTTCTTAATATATAAAATCTAAATTTTAGCGCACAGAAAGACAAAATAGTATCCATTGGGCATTATTTTAGTTAATGCGAAATAATATTTCGTTATTATGTAATTTTTATGGATGAAATAACTAAAATGCTTAATTTTTATGTATGAAGTCTAAGAACAAAATCATTTGGTCCAGAGAACAAAGCAGAATAATATATTTAGTTGGGACAACTAAATATTTTGTTATACAAAACAAAATATTTGGTTGCTATTAAAAAATGCCTCAACTAAACAGTTTTGTTAGAGGTACTAAATTTTTTTTCCTAGTGCAGGGAGAGACGTTCCCGTTCCCTCCTCACGGTGTTTTCCATCCTATATTCTTCTCGCGTAAATTCCGTTACCCTAACGGTATTATTTTTCCCGTCAATCGAAAGCGAGCGTCGCGTTCTCTCTTGGTCAATGAAGTGGTCCGACTGAATTTCCGCTCCACGGGCGTGTGTCACGAGCTTTGTGCGCGTCGCGTCGTACATTTCGGCGAGAGTCTTCAGATGCAGCTCCGAAGCTAAGAAGGGGATTAAGGACGTAGCTCGAAGCTGGCTGGAGAATTTTTGCCCCCTCGCCTCTCATTATCCCGCCGGTGGAAAAAGCTCCGAGCGCAGAAGAAAGCTCCGTTCTCGCGCGGTGTACAGACTCGCCCCCGCAGGAACACTGATTACAGCGTTATCGATTAAGTAACGGCCGCTTTCCTTTCTTCCGCGCCGTTCCTCCTGCTCCCTCCCCCGCCCCTCTCCCCCGCCCCCGGCCCGGCGATTGGAAATCGAGGTGGTGCAAACGAGGGTGGCTGCGCGGCAGCGGCGCTCCACTCCGTTAGCAGCCTCGTAATACACGAGGACTTATTAGCTAACCGAGCCAATATTACCGCAAACGGTTTGTCCATCTGGCGAGCTAATTAGCAAGTTGCGATACAAAACGGGCCGCCTAATAACGGCCCCCCGCCGGCCGCCGGCTTTTATTCCCGACGTGTACGTAAGCCGTAACGCTCATAGTCTCCTTCCAACAGCCAGCGCGTAATTGCGTTACCGATTTATACGACCGGTAATAAGCCGGCCAGACCGTTGTACTCTTTATCGTCGCTGTCGATTCGCGCGGCGAGCGCCGCGGTGCGTGCGATTGATACGACCGCTCTTACGACCGAATTATTCGCCCATGAAGCCGCGCCACGAACGCGCGCGCTGTTAGCCAACATCCCGGCAGCGTGTTCGGCCGCTCAAGTGCCTGAAATGCCTCTCGAGCGTCGCGGTATTAATTACGACGTCTCGTCAAACTTTAGAGACGGTAATAAATCATATTCGTTGGCCCGCCGGGCTAACGCGCCGCGGCGCCGGGACTAATCCCGGGAAAATTTCGCAAAATTAGCGCGCGAGCGGCAAACAAAACCCGCTCTCGTTCGATCGACGATGAATCGGAAAGTTCGGAGCGAGCGGCTCTCGCGCGAACGCGCTCGGATCGACGCGTTTCTTCCGCCGCATCGCGCCGCGCCGCGCGGTCGGCGGATTTTCCAGCGCGGACAAACGCGAAGCGGCGCGGCGGCTCCTCCCGTGAAATGAGGCAGATTTGTTCTCGGCGCTTGGTCTATTTGGGAATATTTATTCACCGTGCCGGCGGATTTCGCCCTCGCCGCGCGCCGAGGGCGCACGGAGGGAGGCCGGACGGGGGAGGGAGAGAAACAATTAGAGCGAAGTGGCCAAAGTTTTCTCAGCAAATATCACTTACGAAAATACAATCGCGCGAGACCCGTCGCAATCGAAGGATGCTGCACCGTGGGCTCGTAGAAAATGGCGCTCGGAAATAATCGGATAACGTCGCTCGCTCGCGCGCCACGACGTCGGTTTGAGATGGGGAAACGGGAAAATAAGAGGAGGGAGAGACACGCTCGCGGATGCGATTCGATACGCTTAAGATAAATTGATACGGGATGGATTATGAGTGAGGCATGTATACGTGCGGAGAAACGAGAGACGGGAGCTCGACGAATGGGTCAACCGCTCGGAAGTAACAGTCGTTGAAAGAAGTAAGGGCCGCTATTAGGAGATTGTTTTCGGCTTGCCGGGAAATATATGTACGCGTCGCTTCTCGTGAAACGCGCTTGCGTCGAATGATCCCTCAAACTTATTCGGGGGGACGTCTCGCCACGGCCGGAGCAACGTGCGGATTTTTAGCGTCGGGGAAACAAAGGAGACTGCTCGACGTACTCGGAAAAAATGATGTCGTGTAACTGAATGGGGCGAGAGCGGGCAGCGGAGAATTCGGTGACGAGAAATGCGATATCTCAGTTACCGGCGAGACCGGCGAGGAGAATCGCTCGAACATTCAGCCGCGCATTAAGGGGATCCTTTTCTCCGCGTATCTCCGGCGTCCCGCTCGCTCGTTCGCGCGAATTAACGAGAGAATCGATGTGACCGTAATATCAATTATAACGGCCGATCCGAGTTTCGTCGCCGCAAGCGCCGGACGGGATTTACGCACGCGGTAACGGATCTTCGACCGGGGGCTATCAATCCGAAATTGTAACGAGCGCGTCACGGGAGCATTTGCGGCCGCGAATGAGCGTCTCAAAGTCCGCCTCGGGAGCGAGGCGCGGCGTCGATCAATTTTCGCGAACCTTTACACGGAGGAGGACGGCGCCTCTCGCCGGATCCGCGAGATGAATTCACGAAAGGACTCTTTATCGGACCGGGCGCTATTGCCGGCGATATGGCCGAATAAGATTCGGCCATTTGCAGAATAAAAGGCTCGGCGGCCCACTGGGACGCCCACTGGGGGGGGGGGGGGCCTGTATGTATCGGTGCCAGAGCGGACGCGCAGGACGACGGATAAATTGAATTATCATACGGAAATTGCGTCCGAATATTTCGTCCACTTCCGGCGGCGAGAAGACGCCGGATAGCTTCGCGCGACCGGCCTCCGCGGGAGCCGCATCGGGAATTTTGAGAATCGAGACTTCGCCTCGGCCTGATCGGCGCGTATTTACGGAAATCCGCTCTTTTCACTCTCTTCCTCTCCCTCGCTCTCTCAATCTTTTCGCATTGTCGATTGACTCCGATTCTGTCTTGGCCGTTTGATCACCAAGCGCGATTCGCTGATCCGAAGACACGGCGTTTCGCGACGAATCGAGCTAGATTTGATCGTCAAACTCAGCGATGATTCGTTGATAATTAAATCTGAGCGCAAGGACCTCAATCGTTTGACCGAGCGCGCGACTTGAATATCGAAAGACACCGGGTTGATTAAGGAATTTTTACAACTTTCCTTCCAGATCGACGGAATCGTCGTTTCTTCGACTAATTGATCATCAGTAAGCGTATTTATTTTTATTTATTTATTTATTTATTTATTTATTATACTTGGCTAATGATTCGGCTCATACACTAGGAAAAACAATTTAGTATCTCTAACAAAACTGTTTAGTTGAGGCATTTTCTAATAGCAACCAAATATCTTGTTTTATATAAGAAAATATATTTAGTTGTCCCAACTAAATATATTTTTCTGCTTTGTCCTCTGGACCAAATGATTTTGTTCTTAGACTTCATACATAAAAATTAAGCATTTTAGTTATTTCATCCATAAAAATTACATAATAACGAAATATTATTTCGCGTTAACTAAACTAATGCCCAATGGAT